CTCTCTCTCTCTCTCTTCCCCTCTCATCATGACTACCCCACCTGTCTCTGCGACCCCTCTTTCCCGTTCTGATTCCGCCCCTCTCGCCTCCTCGGCCGTCTTCGCCACCCTTCGCGACAAATTCTGCTATTTTTGCACGTGTATTGCACGGGTATATGGGGTGGATTGTCATCCTTTTGAGACCGGATTCGTTGAGTGGGTGAACTGTGCCACATGTGTCAATCGTGCACACGGTGCATGCGTTCGATACCGAACGAATAGTAGGGAATCGAAGTGCCCTCTGTGTAGGACGGACAAACTCCCTACCGAGGTTCGATTCGAGGCTGCCCGAACGGACGACCCTGAATATGACGAGAAATACCGACGAGCGGAGGTCTGAACGGATAAAATCATATTAGCTAAATTGGCTGGTTTACCATTGGATCATCTCACTAAGCACGACAGACGTCGGGCTACCGAGAGATCTCGGGATTACCGATGGATCAACGGTCACCTAGAAAAACGTAAAACTGACGGATCGGGTTTGTGGTTGACGGTTCCCCATCCATTCCAGAGATATGATTGGACCCGATTTGCTCACGAAGAACAGGTCGCTCACTTCGCGATACGTGTCACGGAGGCAACTATAGATCAGAATCGATGATTCTGGTCTAAATATACGGGACGATGTTAGATACGTAGTCGCCAACTGTTTGGTCTGTGCCGCCGACCGTGCCCCAATACGGGGACCAAACACGATAGTGCCGACGGAAGTAGAACGCCCTTTCCAGCGAGTCAGTATGGACACGACAGATATCGACGTGCCACCTGGCCCAAACCGTTGCGAATATTCCATCCTTTTAGTTTTAATAGACCATTTTTCCAAATACATCGAAGTCTACCCCTGCAAGACCCGAAAGGCCGTAGAGATAGCCACGAACATTGATCGGTTCCTCTATACCCATCTAGATACGGAAGAAATTCTAACCGACAGTGGGTCCAAATTCAAAGGAGAGGTAGAGGAGTTGCTCGCACGCCGAGGCATTACGCTCCAACACACGGCACCCGACGTTTCCCAGTCGAATGGGTTGGCCGAAAATGCCAATCGCATGATTAAGACTGCCCTTCATAGAAATCTAGCGGCGCGTGACACGCGTCCTTGGCCCGAAATCGTATACCAAATCGTCGGAATTCACCGGGCCACCCCTCACGAATCTACGGGGTTCACCCCCTTTCAGCTCTGCACCAATAGCCTCACATGCGTCGATTACCAAGGCAACTCAGAAATTGCCGAAGCAGGGGGTAGAGACACACATGCCGCCCTTAAGGCCAAGGCCAAAAGGTACGCCGATTTAATGGAAAGGGCAGTCCCGAAGCTAGCCCAAAAGAGACAGAAGATGACTGATCTAGCCCACGGGAGGCAAGTCCGTAGCTACGAGGCCCGAAATGGAAATGTTGGTCCCCAACATCAATATAAATTAGGGGACCTGGTGCAGGTACGTAAATGTGCACGCGACCGAAACTCGCTCCCAAGTTCTTTGGCTGTTTCCGCGTTGTCGAGCTCGGACCCAACGGTGCCAATACGGTGCGCATTCCGCCCGAAGCCAGCGCCAGCCATAGCTCTGTCCCTATCGTCCGCCATATCTCTTACATTTGTTTCCTCCCTCCTTCTGATCTTTCTCCGTCTCCCTCTTCTGCTGAAGACGAGGACGACGACGATCTAGCTCCCACCTCGTTCTCCCCCTCTTGTTCCCATCCCTCATCTTCTTCCCCGTCCTCGCCATGAGTTTCATCACGGAGCAAGCTCTTGGCAATCATCTGCTGCAGCCACGTGGCTACATCTCGGAGATCCGGCAAGTTCGTCATCCGCGGCTCAGTCTTGATCTACGGCGACTGGCGCAGTTCTTCTGCACCGAGGGTGTGTGTGCAGCCGCTGCGTTCCGATTCGCCAGAAGTCCACAGGTAGTAGTATTGGTAGAGGTGGTAGCATTTCATCGGCGGGCAGCTCCAGGAACGAGCCACGTCACCACAGTCGTCGCCTTCAGCGGCGATATCAGCTCGGTCAGCCCGCTTCGAAATACCGCGATCCTGACCTCACTGCGGGAGTGGACGCATTAGTTATCGACTGAGTGGCATCACGGTCTTGCGCGCCCCGGGTGCAACCTCGTCCCAACGTACGGGACTGACTTCGACGAGCTCCGTACCTCTACGCGCCAGCCGACAGTGGTGCTCCCCACTCTCGTCCCCTTTCAACGCCCCCAATGAACCGCGCCGCCCCTCTCGCTCCTCTCTCCACCTTTGGTCTTCCCTCTCTTTTCCCCACCTTCTGGCAATCCGATCTTCATCCCCGCCTTTCCTTCTTGCTCGAGCCTCTTGCAGTCCCGCTCCTTGATCCCAAGCATTGGCAGGTGTGGCGCGAGACTTTTGTCGATCTGTCTGTGTGCTTGGCCCGAGTGGAGGTGACGTGGACGAGGATCGACGAGCATCAGGTGTGTATCGAGTACCTGGAGCTACTGATCATTCAGGCTTGGAGAACTGACGTGGAGGGCGATCTTCTCGGTTTTCTTTTCGGATCGGTGCGGCCAGGCCATCGCCAACCAATTGTCCAGGAACTCGTCGTCCCACTCGCGCAACTGGTCGACGACCTCTCTCTCGATATTGTTTCGCAAAGTGACGAGAGTCCGGCTCCGCACGTCCTTACTCGGACCTTGGCACCGTATCTTCAGTGGTCGGCGTGCTTGGAAGAACCAGGGAGTGAAAGCACCCTGCCATCGCGGCAGGAGTACTTGAAGCCGTCCGGAGTCATCGATCTTGCCTTCTATCCGAAGCAAGATACGTCCGAGGAGGCGGTGGAAGAGGAAGAGGAGGAAGCCACCAAAGAAGAGGGCGACGTTGAAGAAGAGACGTCGGAGGAGGGAAGTTATAGTGAGCACAGCGAAGGAGAGCAGAGTGAAGAAGAAGAAGAAGAAGAAGAAGAAGAAGAAGAAGAAGAAGAAGAAGAAGAAGAAGAAGAAGAAGAAGAAGAAGAAGAAGAAGAAGAGGAGGAAGCCGGATCGGAGTGGGAGACCTTGCCGGAAGAAGCGGCCCGCACAGGCACAGAGGCGGAAGATCCCGAGGTGGCACGTAAGAGAGAAGAGATCGCCGCCGGGAAAAGCCAGCTGGAGTTCGCTCGCGAGGCAAACCTGCGCATCAACGACGACCCGATCAGGGATCCAGATCCCCTCAAGCCCGAAGATGGCGAACCAGCAGCCGCGGCTCCGAGCGCATCGCGACGGAGACAGAGCCGATCCCCCTCCCCTTCCACCCCAGTTCGTCCACGTACCGATGCGGGGAATCGGCCTTCGTCCCCGGTCATTATCCCGCCGTCCCCTTGATTACCTCACCCTCTGTCAGATAGATCTCTACCCCCGTCACCTTCACTCACAACCCCTTCCCTCCCAATACCTTTCGTCACTTTTTCTCCACCCGCCTCGCCGTCACCGTCCATCCCCATCCTTCCCTTCAATGCGCAAACCCCACGTTCTGTTTGCACGTTCTTTTGTTTAGTGCCACGTGGGAGCAGAGCAACGCAGTAGAAGTTTACTGCGTAATCACAGGAACCATCCCCACATATTGCCATCACGAGTTGTTTTGCGCGGCACTCTTCTGCACTTTCTCCACCCTCTACCCTGACTACCTCACCTCCCTCCCTCACAGCGGTGACCGATGTCCCCGCTTTCATCGGATCATCCGCTACGAGGAGCTTCCCATCACGGAGGAAGGGATGAACCGCTACTTACCCCCACTTCCCCCCAACCCTCCCTATCGACACCCCTCCATGTATAATGTCTACTTTCCCATTCTCACGCGGCGCTGATACCCGCCACGTGTCACGACGGCGGCCCTTCCCACCCTCTTCTTGTCAATGACCCTTCTGAGCGTGGCAATCGACTGGAGAAATCGACACGCGCCCCCCGAGCAACACGAATCAGCAGTTTCGCGAAGATCACGCCATTGACGATGACGTCAACTTATGCTCTTATTCGACGGATTGTGCTGGACTTGGGGTGCAGAGCACACGGAGACCTGATGGAGCATGATGGTGCCACCTGGACGATCTCCGAAGTTTGAAGGGCAGGGGGTTGCATATGACAGAACTGCAAAGGATAAGGATCCGAGACAGCATGAGCCGGCATGCAGATCTTGCCATGGATGTTGTCGTCAACTCGTGCCCCGGCTCAGCTTTCTCTGCTGACATTGTACTCCTACTTCTTCCTGCTTCTTCGTCTCCTCCCACTTGCTTGGTTCGAGGTTTTTCATGCAATCAGGAGATCGCATAGTTTTGGAACCCCCTGCACGTCACATATGTGACGAACGCCTTCCCGACCCCGTGCTATCTTTCGTACCTCTTGTCTCAATCCCCCCCCTTCTTGTATCATACCGATCCAATAAAGCCCCCGTCGCTTTTCCTGATTTCAGGTGCCTTATTTAGGCCCCCATTTTTCGGAGGTTCTATTGATTCTTGCAATTCTGCTTTTGGTAATTCGGGAAATGCATGAGAAATTACGCGCGCCTTAGCGAGCGCACTGGGAATCGGGCTCGACAGTTAGGAATTTTGGAGTAAGCAGAACCCGACGTATCTTTTTCTTTGCATGAATGTTCTTGGTCACGGCAGAGAAAAATCTAGGAATTTTGTGAGAATACGGATAAGCAAAGGACTTTTTTTTCCCGCGTCGACTTTCGCGCGCGGATATGGTGATTTCAATTTTTGAATTGGTTCAGGACATAGGCAAGCTGTAACTGTTTTGGTGCCTTTTTCTCTTGTTGCCGGCGCCGCGCATGTGAGCTTCCTCCTCCTTGTTTCCCGCGTCATTATTCCCCCGCGCTCTCTTCTTTCTCTCTCCCTTCTCCCTCCTCTTCTTCTCCTATCGCAACTGTTTTTCCCCTCTCTCTGTGCTTGTTGCGCGCCTGCTTTTCCCTTCTTGATCATCTGAATCTTGGACCCGTCTCACGCTGCTTTTCGCGCCTCTTTCCCTCTCGTTCCTCAACCTTGGCTCACGAAGCCCGGTTGATCCTCCGATTACTCTCGCTCACCAATCAGACGCGTTGAGCACGAGGATCTCCCTGTTGCGCGACGAATCTGATCGGYTGAACACCGAGTTCCRAAGGATCAACATGGCTTCCCTTAAGCACCCCTCGTTGAATCTTCTCCTCTTACACCTCGATCTCCCCTTTGTCTTCTCCCCCGTCTGTCTCCTTTTTCGCAACTATAAATTCTGCAAGCACGCCCGCAAAACTCTCTTACGTTTTTCACTCGCAAGCCAACTTCTGGGAAGCAGTGCCTAGGTGATGCGTTTGGTGCGAGTCGAAAAGTCATGTCGGGCTGACCGTACGCTGGYCKGTTGCGCKCTTGATCRCCACGAYGGACTGTGGGATCCGGGCGAGCCGTGTCGAGCTTGCGTCAGCGGGGTGACAATCGCAGAGGTGGAAGTTAGCACGAGACKGTCGGGACCGTCGGTGCGGGTATAAGGATCAGTAATTGGAGTTAAGTGGATGATTGGCCCRGGGCCATACTTGAATTTCACGACGAATGCGCCTTCATGGTTGCGGATCATTTTTCTTTGTGTGAGTTCATGGCTGCGAAGCCGAATGTTTCCTTGTCGGATTCCGGTGTCCCCTGTCTCGACATTTCTCGTCTATCTCTCCCATCTCTCTCTCTCTGAATTGAATGGCGATGTGTTATGCGTATGTCTCTCCTATGAACAGAAGTGAATCCTCGTGATTTCTCGCACATAAGAACTTCTTCCGAAACTCTTCCATTAGTTTCCTGGGTAATCCCCTGATGCAAGGAAGCTCAATCATCTTGTCTTGTGAACGGTGGACGCGTGTGTACCACCCCTCGACTTGTTTTCGATGCACCATTGTCATTTTCGCACCTTCCACAGTGGATGTACGTATAGAAATGCTTGTATTTTTGCGTTGATTAGACCCAGCGTTCGACGGGATTTTGTTCGAGAATGCAAGAATGTTTAGATCTGTCGTTTTGAATGCACTGCATGCCATCTGCCTTAGGTTGCACGACATCTGCAGACAGTCTATGGGTAAGCCTCGAAAAAGTCGGGCGCCTCGGGTCTTTGTCGAACTGGTCTGCAGAAACTGAGTCGCGGGTTGATCTCTTGAAACTCCAACCCGACTATTGCATGATTGTACGAACTCCGTAACTCGCTTCTCCCGTGTCGAAGGGAGGAAAAACACTAGTTAGTTCTTTTTCGATTGTGCTTTTTGATGACGTCTACGGGGTTTTTGCAAACTCATTTTGATTGATTGATATGTGGACTGACGGTCGTACCTCGATCGGGCGCCAGCCTCCCGTATCTCCCTCGACAACGTGCCCCTTCCCTTACAACGAGGAAAGGACACGTATTTGCGAGTGGGACRTACGAGAAGTTGTCGCACGGATCGACGAACGATATTACTTCCCTCCCGAAAATCGTTRTTCTGGATTCGTGGATGYGGGSTTTGTCATTATCGATACGCACTTCCCACCTTACTCCGTGCTGTTGCCATTTAACGAGTTGATCGTCATTCCGTGGACGRCAGTGGCGCCCCATTGGCCTCGAACCCTGTGCAYTGAGTGCCAGCGTTTCGATCGCTACTAATCAAAGGGCTTCCACTACCGGATACGGAGTGAAGACGAGCAYAAGGAAAGAGCCACACGGTTGAGACCATCCACGTCGGACTCGGAATTGTCCAACGAGCRGCGTCGGGACTCGATACGAAAACGGGACACGCGGAGTGTACCGAAGCYCTTCCGCTCTAAATGAAGATCCATAGCGCGGTGGGAAGTTCGACAATACTTTTTGGATTGAATTTGGATTTTTCTCTTTTCGCGCCGAGCACGCGTGCGCATTCCGCGACGCGCGAAAGCAACCGACTTACTTCATCAGGCCAACACGGGGGATTTCAGTTTTGTCTGTGTCCCCACACTCAATTTTCCAAAAATCCTTGGCACACCCCATCTTGCTGTTTTTCTGGGCCTTCTTTCCGCACCCTTAGCACTCCGAACGGAAGACAGCACAGGGCGTGAGGTTGCGCGTCACAGACAACCCTTTCACTGCTTCCAGGTCCCCTACCTACAACCCAACTTCATTATCGTACCCCTCTCACCGCACCCCCCTGCTTCCCCACCTCAGACACCCTCTCAATCACACAGCCGTTCCTTCGACCCCCTGCACTGCCACTGATCCCCGCTAGCCCTGCCACCTTGACCTGCCCCCCGCCCCCTTTCCCCGTCGGGTGTGAGACATGGTGGGGCCGCAAATGGAGCACTCCCGCCCGGAGAGGAAAAGAGGGAGAGGTAGTGGGTGAATGGAGCCCATCACAGCAGACAGATACGAACATGGACATCACAAAAACGACGGCCACGACATGAAATGATGAAGCCCAGAGCAGGGAGGTGCGGGTGCTTACCTTACACAGGCCAACCTGTACCCGACATGGCGAAGACACCAGAAGACCATGCGATGGAGCAATGCCACCGACGAGGGGCGAAGACAGGGGAAGCAGGTTAACGACCTGTTGCCACTGCAGATAGACACAAACCATGCCCAGGCCCAGCTATTGTGCTAAGATGTGAATTGCCCCGAATAACAATGCAGGAATAGAGGGGCGTGAAGGAGGGCCGGAGGTTCGGTGCCTTTACTTGCTTTTACTTTATTTACTTACCCTTACTTGGAAAAAAAGAGACGGACAAGGGGTCGAGGGTTTAGGGGTCTAGGCTGCACCCCCAAACCCCCTGCATGCCAATGTACCAGGAAGGCTCACGACAGATCAGGTGCTCAGCGGAGGAGTGAAGAGGTACAGAAGGCTGACCTACACTCTCAGCTACAGCTCAAATTCCCATGGGTTGTAGCAGGCTCGAAGATAACTAACAATGCTTAACAGCTCATGTTCCAAAGGGTGGGGGTAGCGGAACGGGAGGACCTGGTTTGCTTGCCTATATGATAGCACCGGGCTCCAAGATCGAAAGATGATCGCAGCCATGGGACTTGGGTATACTACCACCTAACTAATGTTGTCATGTAGGCAACCAACTTAGGCTACTGGGTAGTTGTATAGCTCTATCTGCCAAATTTCCTTCTCTGAGGGTGGACCATGCAGCTGGCAGGTGCTACTTTCAGATGTCTGTACAAACAAGCAAGTAAGATGTTCAGGGACGCTGGACCCTTTTTCCAGCAGGTGCTGCTCCCCACCAATAGATGGAGCGAGAGTGATAGTGGTGTCTGCTCCTATCAGCACCCCTAGCACCAGTTGGGGCTGTTCAACAACAACAAAGGAAAAAAAAAAAAAAAAAAAAAAAGAAGGGTATGCCCAAAGACGGATTGGGGTTACTTGATTACCATCGAACATCCATGAGACTCAAGGGGGCTGTGGCATGGCCCTTGGGGATTACTTCCCCCCAATCATCTCCTCGGTGTAGTATTTCCTAAGGCATAGCGTACGTCTTGTTCAGGGAGGTCAAATTCGCCGATAGATGATCTTCGGAAGCCGTAGATCTTTCGTGTTTACGAACCAGTCCCCTCTAATCATTGGGCCATTAATCAGCGTCCGCACCCACTCTTAGTGCATTGCCTCTGTGAGAGCTCGAACGAGCTCTTCTCCTTTCTATGGACTCCCCTTTCAACCCATTAGTTATCTGGTGTTTTCTTTTCCATGGTTGAGATCCCCCATCCAAAAGTTGCCCCATTGCCGAGAATTGAGATGCCTGCCTTCACTGTGTTCTGAGGACAGATGAGCGGTGGTCGTGAACCACCTGTACTTTTGACTCTTCCCTTGCAGAACCTGAAAATGCCCTGTCCGCCAAAAAAAAAAGAACCAGCACAACTTTCTTTTGGCTGGCACCGCCAGCCATTGTCCTCTGGTAGCTGACCCCCAGAACTTGCTGCGCATTAACGGCGGCATTGGAGAAAATGGCTGGGCCAAGTACTCGTGGTTTAAAAGGTAGACATTCTTGATCAATGACATGAGGGTTCCCAAACAGTGTTCGCTTAGTATCTTTCCCGTCTTAGCGGAGTCTTATCTTTTTTGGGAAGGATTCTCCTCAGTAGTTTTAATGATATTGTATCAGAATACGTCATTAGGGAGCCTCAGGTCCATTCTCGCCGTACATCAGTATTAATCTGCAATAAGGTTGTCTTGGGAGAGACCAAGCGGGGTTAAAAGTCGCATGGTATTGGGTGGATATCATTACAGCAGCCCGAAGATAGCTGCAAGATCTGCAGCCACACCAGTGTTTCCACTGTAAATTATCCTTAAACCACCAGTACCTCCTGAAGTCACGGCGGTTAACAAGCCACAACAATGATGAAAGAACGGCCCACTACGGGAGTGCCCAAATTCATCCGACTACCGTCTTCCCCCGAACACAACGCACCCTCATTTTGGCTGTATCTGGCCCCAAATATATCTTCTATACATTCATTTTTACTGTGCGTTATGTTTGGGGGAAGACGGTAGTAACGCTTCTACTTCATTTTTTCCGGCGGCCTGGTGGTTTAAATAGCGACTTGATGATGCAGTTGATCAATAATGCAGCCATTTGAATCCCTGGGTCTTAGATCCCCAGCCCATGTTCCCATTTTGTTTCCTGTATGTGTGTCCCAGGCAACCCTTTCCATGTGATAATTTTTCCACAGAAAAGAGGCACAGTTTTGTCGGAGCTGACACAGTTCTGTTCCTTCCAACAGTGAGGGGGCTGCTTGATATCATATGGCCCCGAAAACCCCATTGTTAATTACGAGTGCCCTACCATGACGGGTACTGGCATAATTATCCCTATTGTCTCCCCCCCCCCCCCCCCCCACCAGCACAACACATCCTCATTATGGCTGTACCGGGCCTGAAACGTATCTCGTATACATACATTGATAAGGTGCATTATGTTTGGGGGAAGGCGGTAATGTACATTTTGAATTTTTATTGATCATAACTTCATGACTTCAACATGTGGGATGGTGACATGTCTGTTATACTGCTCTTCTTTTCTATCTCCCTCCCCACTGTCTCTTGGCTCTCTTGTGTAACTTTGTTTGCCATCAATTGTCTTTAGTGCTTAAAAACACACACACAGAAAAAAAAAAAGAAAAAGGACAGCTTGTCAGCTCCATCTATTGGTGCGGAGCAACACCTGCTGGGATCACACCGTAGAACAGTAATGAGGACTATCAAGATCATCATTACGTAGTCCATCTAAGGCTATCCTATGGGGTATACTATATAGTTTCATAACTTTCATTTCGTATGGGGTATAGCCAAGTGGTAAGGGAACGGGTTTTGGCCCTGTCATTCGGAGGTTCGAGTCCATCTAAGGCTATCCTTTTTTTTTTTTTTTTTTTTTTTTTTTAAACAACTTCCCCCACTAGTGTTAGTGGTGCTGATAAGAGCAGACACCACTAGCACCTGGGCAGAGGTTCGAGTCCATCTAAGGCTATCCTATGTGCACTGCAATCGCAGGTGACAGAAAGGGAGCGGCAGTTTGCAAAATTTGAGGTTTATGTGCGACACCTATGGGGCATTTATCAGACGAACGATTATTTTCCCAAGTCCATTAGGCAAAGAAAGATAACAGAAGAGCTCAAGGTAATATGCTGAAATGTTTTTTCTTAACATGCTCTATTTGTATTTCATGAGGATGCAAAGATGACCATGGTAAAGGTTTGCCATTACGAAGAAGGACATCAAAAAGTTCAAAGCACCCAACAGCCCAAAGTCGCCGAACATCCAAATAAGCAGGTGTCTGTGGACTTCCATCTCCATCAGGATGAGTTAGGCCGTGAGAGTGGGCATCACACAGGTGCCTGGGAGGCCCAAGGCTGTGATTATAGAAGGCCAGAAATATGGGAAAACATGGTCCATGAAATGATTCATTTGTTCTTAGTACTTCTTACCCTTGTCAGAGGACCCTCAGTTTGGGGACAAGGCTGGAACTGGCCCAGCGGGGGAGACATGTTGGGAGCCCCCTGGTGTCAGCCAGCCGTAGATATCATCCCTGCCTGCAGAGCAGTATTGAGGGCATCAAAGTTCAGACCTTGAGGGCTCTTGCTTATGCCTTTGTTTTTTTTTTGTTTTTTTTTTTTCCAATGTTTGTACGATGTACAACTTTTTAATGATATCAGTTTGTGTGTGTTATGTCAATGTGGTTTTCTCTTCTTTTTTTTTCCCTTTTCTTTTCTTCTTCTTCTTCTTCTTCTTCTTTCTTTTTTTTTTTTTTTTTTTGGAGGAGTCCAGGTTGTTGCAGGGGCTGGCTACCAGGAATATGACGGACCTGTCAGCAACTGACCTTCTGATCATCCCAATGTCCTGCGTAGCATCACGTTCGGGCTCGACCGAACCCGGGTCACCAGCCCATACGTACAGAGGTCCCCGGGCCGTCCTCCGTACGTACGGGCGTTCGGGGTCCCGTTTGGGGTCCGAACCTGAAGGCGTTCAGCCCCCACCAAAAATTATTTCGGGGACTAAAATAACTTTTTTTTCCTGAATTTTTGTTTGTGAGTTCTCTATGATGTGAGGTACATGCCTATAAACGTTGAATTAATTTTGCTAAGCCAAACAAAAATTAAAAATCACCAAAGATGGCGGTGTCAAACGTGCTCGCCCACTCACTATTTTGTTTTTTTTCACTTTTTAGTAAGTTTTACTTTTTGTTTACACTTTATTGCGGGGCCTAAACAAATTTATTATTTTTCGAAACTTTTTTAACGAGTTTTGTATTATGTGAAGTATACATCTGTAAATTGTCAAAGATGGTGGTGGATGGTGGCTGTAAGCCTACGGAGGACGGAAACTGGAGATGCTCTAGGTTTGCATAACCTCTGCAATAATTTAAGAATAACCTGTGGAATCTGATGATGATAAGGCCAGGATCTCATCTCTAACAGGAAAAAAACAGGGTTTGCCTATGGGACTTCTAGTGGCATGCTTACCCCTAGTGCTCAAAGTGCCTGGTACTACACGGGCCGGTTTGTTCGATAGTGCTTCAATCAGGGCTGGGGAGGGAGGTGAGAACCTGCCTAGCCCTGATGCCTATAACCGCTGTCCGGTCAAAGGTCACTTGAATGGCTGATGATCCTGGGTATACTCAGGTAGGACCTTGGGAGTAGGGCTGCTCCGGAGATCGTAATGATGAGTAACGGTGGGTGGGTGTCTCATAGGGGACCGGGTAGACAATACCTGTGCAGCACACCGAACATGTTCGGCGGCCCACCGAGCAGCCGAACATGTTCGGATGCTCGGCCGAACGGGAACCGAATATGTTCGGCCGAGGGCAAATTAAAGGGCTGCCGAGCGCGTCCTCGTGTGTGTGTGGTGTGTGGAGTGTGTGTGGGGTGTGTGTTCAGGAGTGATGAGCAATGCCCTCCAGGGCCCCCCAACCCCTATATATATCTATATATAATATTAGAGTGGCCCTGGACCACTTGCCCGGCTGGGGAAAAAACGAGTTAAAAATAAAAAAATTAAAATTTAAAAATTATTTTTTTATTATTATTTGTTTTCTAATTTCGCAAGGAATTTTGATGTGACCGTGAGACAAAAGTTGTTTAGTTTATTTTTCTGCATAACATAGTTTTTTTTTCGGATTTTTCTAATTTTTATTTAGTTTTATTTGTTTTGCTGGGACCTTCCGTAGTTCTTCCACGGCCGGGCCGCCCGAAAAATAGAGTGACCCGGGCGGCCCGGCTGGTAGCCTAGTAAAAAAATATAAAAAATAACAATGTTCGGGCTGGGTTTATTTTGGGGCACGTTTGGGCTCGATATCGAGCGTTCGGGTTCGGTGACCGAGTGTATTGTCCTGCATAGCATCGCGTTCAGGCTCGGTAGTACCAGGCACTTCGAGCGCTAGGGGTAAGCATAGGCGAACCCTAGTTTTTTCCTGTTACAGAGGAGATCCTGGCCTTATCATCATCAGATCCCTCTATTTTTTCTTAAATTATTGCGGAGGTTATGCAAACCTAGACCATCTCCAGTTTCCGTCCTCAGTAGGCTTACAACCACCATTCACTTCCCGTAGTTTTACGTTTTAACTCCTTTTTTTTTCAAAAAAAAGGTGACTATGTTGAGATATCATCTCTCTGCAGTGGCAAATACTACATAGATGCCTGCCTACTAATGACTAGTTGATAGACCATACTACCTTGGAACAACGAGGTTTGGCACTCCCATGGTGTAAATCATGCCTATCCGTCTTTCCTAATACGAAGATAAGGGAGACCATTGAACACTTGCTCATGCAATGTCCCGGTACGGTATTGTTATGGAGAAGATGGGACTGTGTGTGGAGAGGTTTAACGGGAATTGACTGGCCATGGGATTGGAGAGTCATTCTTCTGGGTCATTGGGAACCGAATGATACAACTTTCAGAGTTTCAGATAATTTTTTTTGAAATTGGCCGGAAAGCTAGGAAGATTCTCACGCCCGGCCGGGCACCCGGGCGTGACGCCCGGGGGGGTCTGACGCCCGGGATACCCGGGCGTGCAAGCGCCCTCCCAGAGGACTCCAAATCCGGGCTCGTTTTGTTTTTTGCGATTTGGCTGTCAAAGGGGGGGGAGGGGGATATAAATTGGTTTTAAAGGGGCGAAAGGGGTCTAAAGGGGGGTGCCTTTGTGTGATTCTGTTATGTTTGTTTTTTTATCTCCGATTCTGTGAGGAATTATAATGTGACCCTCAGCCAAAAGTCGTTCATATTTCAATCCTACACAACATTTTTTTTTTCCAGAATTTTTTGAGGTCTTTTTTCTTTTTTTTGGCGCTGGGGCTGCCCGAAACCCTGTCTGTGGGTGTGACGAACTGCTTCCCGAACCCATGCTATCTTTCGTACCCCTTTGGTTTGATTTTTTCTTGTATCATACCGACCCTACAAGCACCCCATTTGTTTTCTTGATTTCAGGCGCCGCGTTTTGGTCCCCCATCTTCTGGAAGCTTTTTGTGATTCTTCGGTCCTGCTTTTTCTTTTGCAATTCAGGAAATGCATAGGACTTTACGCGCGCCTTAGCGAGCGCACTGGGAATTGGGCCCGACAGTTGGGAATTCTGGGATAAGCGGAACTTCGACGTGTCCTTTTTGTATGTGAAGGTTCTCGGTTGCGTTGGGGAAAACTCTCGGAATTTTTTAAGGATACGAATAGGCATAGGACTTTCTTTTCCCGCGTCGTCCTTTTCGCGCGCGGATATGGTGATTACAATTTTGAATTGGTTTAGGACATGGGCAAGCTGTAACTGTTTCGGTGTCTTTTTCTTTTTCTTTTTGTTGACGGCGCCACGCATACGAAGCTTTCTTTTCTCCCCCCCCCCCTTCTCATCCTCCCTTCTCGTAACTGTTTTCTCTCTCTCTCTCCCGCTCTGATTGATTGCGCGCCCATTTCCCTTTCTTGATCATCTGAATCTTGGACCCGTTTTGCGCTTCTTCTCGTGCCCTTTTTCCTTTCGCCTTTCGAATGTGAATTGGAAGCCCGGTCGATCCTTCGATTACTCTCGTCCACCAATCAGACGCGTGGTACGATAGGATCTGCCTAGTGCGCGATGAATCTGATTGGCGAAGCTCAGAATCCCGAAGGATCAACATGGCTTCCGTAGCGCGCTCCTCGCCAAGTCTTCTCCTCCTGCTTCTTTTCTTACACTTCGATTTTCCCCCTGCCTTCTTTCTCCCTTGCCCCCCTTCTCGCCACTATAAATTTCGCAAATGCGCCCGCAAATCTCTCTTACGATCTCGACTCCCAAGCCAGCTTACGAGAAGTAGTGGCTAGGCAGAGTGTTTGGTGCGAGTCGAAAAGTCATGTCGGGCTGACGATAGGCTGGCCGGTTGCGCGCTTGATCGCCACGGCGGACTGTGAGATCTGGGAGAACCACGTCGAGTTTACGTCGACGGGGTGACGATCGCGGTGGTGGGAGTTAGCACGCGACGGTCAGGATCGTCGGTGCGGGCATGAGGATCGATGATTGGAGTTGAGTGGGTGATTGGCCCGGGGCCATATTGGAATTCACAGTGAATGCGCCTTTGTTGATGCAGATCTTTATCTCTGGCGTGAGTGTACGGCGGCAACGCCGAACTTCCTCTTTTCGGATCTTGTCATCTCCTATCTCAACCTTCCTCTCTCGTCTCTCTCTCTCTCCCCTATCTTTGAATGACGATGTGTCTTGATGCTTGTTCCTCTCATGAATGAGAATGAATTTGTGTGCTCTCCGGTGTGAAGGAACTTCTTCCGGAACTCTTCCATTAGTTTCCTGGGTAATCCCCGGATGTCGAGGAATTGATCCTCTTGTCTTGTGAATGGTGGATGCGTGTGTACAACTCCCTCGGTTGATTTCTGACCTGTGCACCCCGGTCATTTTCGCAGCTTTTACAGTGCATGTATGCATAGGGATGCTTGCCTTTTTGTATTGATTAGACGCCGCACTCGACGGGATTTTGTTCGAGAATGCAAGAGTGTTTAGATCTGTAGTTCTGAATGCACTGCACATGCCATCTGCCTTATGCTGCACGGCATCTGCAACCGATCTACAGGGCAGCCTCGAGAAACAAGGCGCCTGGGATCAACGCCGCGGTGGCTCACTAAACCTGAGTCGCGGGTCGGTCCCTCAGTTACATGCATGATCAAGTTGATGAGTGTTTTCTCTCTCTCGTGTCGAAAAAAGTTGATTGGTGGTTGTGCGAGTGTTTTTCCTTGATGACGTCTCGGAATTTTTGCAATTGATTGACATTTGGACTGACAAACACCCTTCAATCGGGTGTCAGCCTCCCGTATCTCCCTTCTCAAAGGGACTTTTTCCTTACGACGAGGAAAGGACACGTGTGTGCGAGTGGGACGTACGAGAAGTTGTCGCACGGATCGGTGAACGATATCACTTCCCTCCGGAAAATCGTTGTTCAGGGTTCGTAGAGGCTGGGTTTGTCATTATCGATACACACTTTCCACCTTACTCGGTATTGTTGCCATTTAACGAGTTGATCGTCATCCCGTGGGCGGCAGTAAAACCCCACTGGCCTCGCACTCTATGCACCGAGTGCCAGCGCTTTGAGCGCTACGAATCCAAAGGTTTTCACTACCGCAAACGGAATGAAGACGAGCACAGAGACAGAGCCACACGACTGAGACCCTCCACGTCAGACTCAGAATTGGCTGGTGAACGACGTCGGGACTTAATACGAAGACGAGACACGCGAAGCGTGCCGAAGCCTTTTTGCTCTAAACGAAGAGCTGTAGCACGGTGGGAAGTCAGGCAATACTTTTTGGATTGAATTTGTATTTCTCCCTCCTTTCGCGCCGAACCCTCGCGCGCATTTGGCGACGAGCGAAAAACGGTCGACTTACTCCATCGGACCAACACGGGGGATTTCAGTTCTGTCTGTGTCCCCACACTCAATTTCCAAAAATCCTTGGCACACCCCATCTTGCTGTTTTTCTGGGCCTCTTTTTCCGCACCTCTAGCACTCCGAATGAAAGACAGCACAGGGCGTGAGGTTGCGCATCACATGGGTCATGCCCGGCCGGGCACCCGGGCGTGTACCCGGGCAAAAGTTGGGTGCCCGGGCGCCCGGGAAAACAGCCTGGCCGGAAAGCCATTATGCGGGTAATATGGTACAAAAGGTGTGTCCATGAAAGGGGGGATGTAAAGTTGGAAGGATCAGAAATTGCTGAGTTGATTGCCCAATTTGTACAGACGGAAATACGAAACGTTGGAAAATTGTCTATGATAAGATAAAACATTTCCGTCAGAAAAAGGATATTCTTTGTATTTTCAAAATTCAATCTTGACTGGCTGGGGGATGCTGGGGGATGTTGAAGGAGGAAGCTTGGGAGAAGTGAAATGGCCAGGAGGTGAAGTGCAGGAGTAACCTCTGAAGCGAGACTTCCACCTGATCTTCAGAGATTGGTTTACACTTCAACCAGGAGTCACACTCAGATCCCTAGATTGTTTTCTTGACCCCTTCCCTCCCTCAGAATTGGCAATGGTTGATGTTCAATGATATGCTTTGGGAGATGGCTAGATTTCTAAGCTTCCAGGGTCTATATCAATTTTGTTTTTTTCCAAATATGGTTGTAATTATTCACTGTGCATAGGCAAAGTTATGGTTATATCTGGCAGCCCCCAATCAGCTGAAGAGGCAGGCCGGCTCACTTTAATTATCTGTTTTAAACCACCAGTACCTAGCGGTTGTTAAGGCCC